ACCATATAACTAATTACTACTTGCTATTTCTTAGATCTCAAAGGCACAAAATTCATACTATCTCCATGTTTTTTTCCTAAAATTTCCTGACTCGGGCAATGATACATCATTACATAAGCTCTAAAAGCCAGCCTTTCTCACCTCATAGCCAAACATCCAGTATTTCCAATTTAGCTTCCCAAGTCTTTCACTAAATGAACTTTTCTCCACGTCTATTATCCTATCTCCCTATAGTCAAAGATTCCTTTAATAGTTTCACTGGTTTACCCTATTCTTTTCCTGACTTAAACTTACAGCCAAAAAGATTCTTGAAATGCTAGCAATCGACACTTTTACACACTTCGATGATTCCACATCATTCTTGGGGCAATCTTTAAAGTGATTTACAAGCCCTGTACTCTTGGCTTTTGCCTTTTTCTTGAAACCCATACAAGCCAGTATGTCTCACTTCCCACTTCAGCCGAACTGGCATTCTCTCAATTCCTATCAGTACACTCCCTCCTGACACAAAAGCCCTTTATCCAAAGGTCTCTCACTAGCAGGTACCTCCTTTCCCTCTTCACCAAGTCTTATTTGTTCTTCAGGTCTCAGTGTTATCATTAAGGAAGTAAACTCTATTTCCTAAAGTTTTCCTATAAAGCTGAATACAGATTTTTGAAAGTTAAGATCATGTATATTTATCCTTTATTGGGCATGGACAACAGCAGCTGACAGGAACTGATATAACATAAAAATCCAACAGCTCTGTTAGTGAAATATAAATAGGAGACAAGATGGAAACAAGAAGCATTGGAAACCATTTCCAATAATATTTCCTGTTTCATGGTAATGGTTACTGGGTAGATTCTGTCTACCAGTCCTTTATAAAAAAAGTTCCATCTTTCACTAAATCAGGCCTTGACTGACTGCTATGGAGTCGTGTGTGGCATCTGGTTTTTAAAAAAGTTCCTAATAATCTTTCTTTCAAATACTCTCTGCAAGAGTCTCAATTAACTCAATGGAAGGTGGATCAATGAATGCAATCTTCTTCAAAATGTAAACATGTAACAGAGTAACAGGGAAACTAACAAAACCTGAACCACAATTTTAGTGGGTCATGGAAAGGGATCCTAGGAATACTAACTTATTATCTCATATGGTTATTACTGTTTATAGACTTCACCATACTTTGAAGCCTACAGGTGAGAAATCTTGGGCCTGATTATAATAGCTGGCATACAAATCCTTACTGAAATCACAATTTGTTACCATTTTAAAAGTACTCTTGTTTCTAAGCTAGCAGGTGAAATATTTTTGCTGTGATCTAGAAATACTTTTACTTGATTCAAGTCTACTAAGGTTAATAATCCCCTAAAACTAAAATGTTTTCTGAACCTCAGGTTTGAGAATAAAACAGCCTAGAACTCTTTTAGGTTTCTAAAGCCTAATTTTATGCTCGGTTTATCTGCTTTAAAGACCATCAACATTCAATGCAGAAAAAATAACCACTAGCGGGGCGCCTGGGTGGCTCAGTCGTTAAGCGTCTGCCTTCGGCTCAGGCCATGATCCCGGGGTCCTGGGATTGAGCCCCACATCAGGCTCCCTGCTCCGCGGGAAGCCTGCTTCTCCCTCTGCCACTCCCCCTGCTTGTGTTCCCTCTCTCTGTCAAATAAAGAAATAAAAATCTTAAAAAAAAAAAAAACAAGAAAAAGAACAAATAGCCACCGGCTAGGAGGCTGGCTTAAAGGCAGATACAGACAACAGTCCAATTTCTGTTATACCGTATACTGCCAATAGATACGATTTATTCATACCATACACAATGGTTAAATTATGAACCAAATAAAAAGACAAACTGTAAAGTATTATCAAAACTGTGTTTTATTTTCAATACAAGATAAATACCATGCTTGTTACTAGTGCAGTTTAGGGCCAACAATGGCCATATAGCAAACTGCTGAACAGTCACCTAAATGCTAAAGAAAGAAAAGACAAAGTAAACATTAAACACAAAATTGCAATTACAAACATTTTAATAAAATGGAATGAGCTTTTTAATAGAAGCTAATATGGAAGTCTAGTTCTCATGGACACCAAAAAGATGTCTTTTTGATCAAATATCACCTTACCTTCTGCACAGAAATCTTACTGTGAAGTCACCAGAGTCAATAGCTAAAATTTTAAGACTTTCTTTGGCCTTCTGGTATTAGACAAATTATTTACAAACCGTAATTTAGTTAATTCATGGATACTGGTAATATGATACAATTTTTTTGTTAAGGGCTTTCCATTAAAAATTGTAAAACAACTTTGTAAGGCTGTACAAGGCTGTAAACTACTTTGCTAATATACCATGGGATGAAGAGGAAGAGTAAGAATAGACCTTTTTTTAAGGCTAAAGTCATCAATGTTATAGATGCATTCCTTAGAATACATTATGATTTACCCCAAGGATCCTTTCCCATTAAATACCACCTGAGTACTACAATTTTCAAAGTAAAAAAATAAACATGAATTCACCATTGTATTTTAAAATAATTTAACTTACAGAATGCTGATAAGTGTTATGCAGTAACAGTGTGACAAAAAGAACACATCTTCAAAATGAAATGTTTTTACTAAATGCAGGGTCCAATTATGAAATTAATGCAAAACATTTACACCCATGGCAGAAGTTTAGGATGCTCGCACATGAAAAACTTTCTGTAGTATTTACTATCCGCTGATACCATTTTAGGATTTGTGTGACTTCAATTAAATTCTACCTAACATTTTAAGACTCCTATTACAATATGTTAATATATCAGGAAGTCTTTAAAACATTAAAATCTGTCTATACCTAACCAAGTGTTTGTATGTCCCATACAAAAACCACAATAGCTGCATACTCAGAATGAATGCCAACAACCTGAAATTTTAAAGAAACATTGGTTAAAACAAACCTAAATCAATCTAAACTGGACACAATTGCCTGAATATTTGAAAAATTTGTATTGCTTCTTTCTAATGCCAAGAAAGAAGAGTATAAGAACTTCCTCCCAGAAGCCTAGACATTTTAACACATTTTCTTTTTCAACTTACAATGAAACTTTAATCCAGAATCTTTTGATTTCTCTAATCAAAAATCTCACATTACAAACACAAGGAATGCTATATGTAAGGCCACATCTTAAGAAATTTATAATTTTTGGTTGAATATTAAAAAATTAGTCTAAGGCTTCTAAGAGTCAAGTTGCTAAAAAAATGAAATAAATACTCCAGTGTTTAAACTGAAGGTTAATGTAAAAAAATAACACACACACAGAGTAAGAACAGAAAAATAGAATGCTTTGCTACAAAAATCCCACTTAATATATTTTAGCACAAAAATGTCTAATATGTACAATGGATAAGCGTGCATTCAAGTACATACAACTGCAGGAAACATTTACAGACGGCTATGGGATGCAAATGAACTTAATGAATAAAATTTAAAAGGCAGTTATCTGTAAAACAGTAAGACTCTCAATACTGTATTCTCAGTAAAGAATCAGAACATAAACTTCCTCTTAAAATAACAGGCTGAAGCTTAAAACACAAAATTGGAGCCATCTTATAAAATACAGAAAATGCAATGATCATTCAGGTATGAACCAAAATGTTGAGAGCACTCCAACAGAAAGTCTCATAGTAGCATTTCATTGTATAAAACAGTATGTATTTAGGTTATTGGCACATTTAAATACATAAGGGAAAGAGAAAGTCTTTACCCTTCCAACAATTTTCCCCTTTCACTATAAAATGTTATACAACATTCATTAAAATCCCGTGTTTATTTTAAGAACTGACCTTAAACTAGTAAAAAACAAAGCAATATTCTCCACAGGAGAATTAAATGAAAAATAATACCTTAAGCTACAATCCATAAGTTATCTGTGAACTCCAAATTGTAGTTAACTGCTTAAGAATATTCTAGGTAAAGGGGCCATTAAATGGGCTATAAACTATGATCAACAGCCACTGCAACTTACTCCAAATCTTGCTTATGAAAACTGACAAAATAAACACTTCCAAATTTACATTGGAACATCCTTTCCAAAACATTATGTCCTTTAACTAAAAGCAGCACAATTGATTCAAAGTGTTGCTTCAGAAGCATTACCATTGAGGTGCTGCATCACTCATTCATAACTACTGGCTGAAAGGAATGTGACCACATAGCACTAATAAATGCCTATGGTTTCAAGTCAAACTCAAATTTGTTTTCATGTCCACTACAATTATTAGTAAAAAGAAATGAAAAGGTCTCTGAAACTCTCTTTCTCTGTGGTTTTTTTTTTTTTTTTTTGGTGTCTATGTAATGATTTATCTCTTTGGATTGTTTTTACATGTTAAAAAAAAGAGTTTTTCAAATAACGTTAGCTCATAAACAACAGAGGGATATGAAGAATAAAACAAGGCTTGCAATTTTCACCTTTACTGCTATACATTCGTGTGTTATCAGGTAGAAGACTGTAAGAATTAATGTCAAACCAAAAAATTATTTCCTTCTGACAACACTTAAACAGACTAGCAGCAAACAATTCTAGTACACTCACATTGTCTGCAACAAAAGTTACGTAATGAAATCAGCCATGTAGGGAGAAGAGTGATATAGAATGAGCAATTAAAGGGTTCCACTGATAAAAAAGGAAAAGATAAATGATTTAATTAGTACAAAATTTCCAGTTTCATGTCAAGTTCAAGTGGTTAGATTTTTAGAATTCCATTTTAAAACGGTCAGAGAGTATCTTATTCTCATGGACATTTACTTACCTTTTAAGCTTACTATTAACTAATTTCCCTTGAAATATATTTATGTCCATACTTCTTCACATTAGGGCATTGTAATTAAAATATAAAAAAGCTAAGGAATGACAAAACACCTATACACAAAACAAGAAAACTGATTTTGATACAACTCTCAAAGAATGTTAAAAAGGCAACTGCATTTTCAACAAGATAGAACACTTGAAAAATTTCTGAGAGCAAACAGTTCTTAAAAACACCAATGATCCCATGCACAAATACTCTAAATCACAAAATGTTTTAAAATAAAACTAGCAATAACATGAATAACTCGAAACAGCTAATTTTGTAAGAACTAGTGTGATAGCGGACAAAATGAAAGAACTGCAGTGCAAATCTCTGGAGGGCTTCTACAAGTTGCACATGACATAATATCCAGGGTACCTAAATACTTTTAAGCATTGCCCTAAAATTTGGGTATATTTTTAAAAAACCAATGTGTATTACCAGATTGCTCAAAAACAATCAGATCTTAAAAACAAATTAATTTGTTTAGGAATTCAACTCATATTTCTGAAATAGTGATTCCGAATGATCTTCCTATAAAAGTATCTAATCAAGTTGACACTCTGCCTATGCTAATTTTGCAATTAAGAACACATGCTAGCCAAGTGCTTTTAATGTGGGCCTATATGCAAGGCAGACTTGAAAAAATCTTTGATTAGGTAACTCTAGCATGAATCAAAAGGTTGCATGAATACACACAAGATTCCTTAAACTGTGGTGACAGGGTACACCTATAATCACCCATTACACATACAGGAGAATACAACTCAGTATTAGTAAGCATCACGCCCTTCCAAAATCTACAGTAACGAGAAAATAAAAACTAATGCTCTCCTTACTCACATTTGTCTGCTGCACGGCTGTATTTACACTGCCTATGGCTTCAAAAATAAACCATAAGCACTATTAATATAAAACAGCAAATAACTGCCGCATCAAATCAGAATTGTCAAAATATTTCTTCAATGCTAGCAGTTTACAATTAAGCGTTTCAGTACATCTGTGTTGTAATTAAGCTGCATTACTGTAGCAAATAACGTCTGGGTTTTTACTAAAATGTTAAAACCACAAAATTTTTTTTGACCCCTAACACATTGACTGGATTGCTATGTCTGTGAAATTTTACAAGTTTACATACCATTCAGCAAAATCACAAGCTAACTAGGTAAAAACAGCTAGAAAAGCAGAATATAGAAATATTAAATATCCATGTAATCACCTATTCTAATATCAAAATCAAGGGCAAGAGACACTTAATTAGTATGTTTAATTCACTGAACGCAAGATTAGATTGGTGCATATCCAAAAACGCTATTGCAATGCTTTTTTAAAGGACAGTATAAATGTCATAGTAACATTATCTTTAGATATTGCTGAACACAAGACTTTCCCTGAGGTGTAAACATCAAATAACTTGAACAGCTTTACACATCAGCCCCATTAAACAGTTTATTACAACACTACATCTATTGTAATCAAAGTGGTGCTGTTTACAGACATTATCATATGAACATTTTTAACAAGAACAAACTACTATAAAAACAAGCATTTACTTGACGTTTTTTTCCAATTGCTTGCACATTATAATGGCCAAATGTATATAACCAGTAATAAAGTTGCAAAAGCTATAACTTTTTAAATCACACAGGTTTCCTTCAAATAAAACAGTTAAGCAACATAAAAAATAAAAGTAGAGCTACTGGTTACCATTTATGCAGATTTGCTTTATTCAGATCTATTCCTGTTCATTTTATCCATGAATCCTTACAGGTTCAGTTCAATCACAAGAAGCAAACTGCTGGACAAGCGTCATTTTTCCCCCATGAAGACTGTTTTGTCTTGGAAGGTGTTCCTCTTCCTTCAGCTGTAATGTGTCAAAATTTGTGATGTAGATTTTGCTATTCCCCACAATACACAGAAAAACGCTGGCTTAACTATACATACACAAGTCGTGCATCTACTTCACTGTTACGTATTCTAACACAATAAGCATTAACTGAAACAGTAGCTGCCTTTATGGTGGAGAAATGTTCCCAATTTATGTGATGATTAAAACTGAGACATTCTGATTTCATTCTTCTTAGTTATTACTGCCTTATTAATTTAATGACTGGAACAGAAATGAAAATATAGCAGCTGCTGTTTCTGTGATGATGGAAACATTTATAAGTCATTTTCTAAAGTATGCAAACTACAAAAATAAATGGAAAAATGCTTGAATGATTTTAATGTAAGTATTTTTCATTCACCCACATATCAATTCTAAAGAACTCATTAACAATTAAATGTGAACTGAATATAAAATGCAATAAATTATTTTACAAATTAGTTGTATTTATTTGACAGCATACAGGAACTTCTGCAAATGTTATATATCAAACTTTCATGTTACAAAATTTATAAATAAAATTTATATATAGCTCAGTATGCACATTTAAATAAGTATGACATCCACATACAAATCTTTAGACATAATACAAATTTAAAACATTTACTTTACTTTCACTCTATTCCACCTATATTGAAATAACTAATGTAGTATATAAGCTAACCAAAAACAAGCTAAATAAGAATCTACAATGATAAATTTCATTGAAAACTCACACAAAGAAAAAAAAACAGTAAATTTGATAAACTAAAATTTCAAGAATACAAAAATATGCAAACTTCAGGTAGAGGTTCACAAAAGAAATATTCAATTAACTTGCATTTAAGTGATCACTGAAACATCAGATATTTAAAATATAAATTCCAAGAGAGCATTTTAATAAGATGATGTAGTAAGAGGTAAAGGGCACAATATTTAGTGATATTCTTGCCATAAAGTAATTGGAAAACACTCTCTGCTTTATAATTAAGAGTAATTAATATTGTCACAACTATAAATGTTATTTTTTATGTCCTTTCCTCCCCAACTAGGCTGTAAGCATCTTAAGAGCATCAGTACACATATGCATTCACAATGCCTAGCAGTAAAAACCTAAATTTTACAACTCAAAAAACAAAAACAAAAAAAAACAAAACCCAACAACAAAACCAAAAAACCAAACAAACAAACAAAAAAAACCCCCAGATGTTTTAATCCTGGACTTTCTCTTTTAAATAGTTTCTATTTGCCCATATTTTTCAATGAGATACTTAAGCCATTTCCAATGTTACCTTTTATTGTACCTTTATCTTATGTTGCTGAAGCTTTAGGTGGAATTATTTCATGGAAAAAAATCTAGAAAGGCAGCTTTCACGGGTTTTATTTTTATTCCTTGCAATGTATTTTTAAAAACTGGTATTAAAGTATTAAAGAAAGATAAGGAATGTGTTCTAACCAGAAAAGATGCACTACTGGGAAATTCATAAATCTTATTGCAAAAGTATGTTATCTCCCTAACCTTTTTGTTGTGATGCGAGAGATCTGGTCATTAAAGAGGGAAAAATTATTTCAAGTCACAGTGAACAAAAAAAACCCAATCCTTCCCAAAAAAACATATGGCATACACTGCAACTTATTCATCACTCCAAAGGAAAATTTTACTACTTTTTCTGTAGAGAATCCTGTTTGTGAAATTGTAACACACATCTTTTTGCAGGACAAATGCACTTATCTTTTGCTTGATTATACTTCATAGATCTTTACTATTAAAGAAGTCTCTCATTTTCACCATACAGACATAAAATCTGGGGGGTAGTCTAACAGTTTTTATTTCTCTTTCTAAACACTTTACATTCATCCATTTGGAAATACAAATTTTACAATCTCAAACGGAAGCAAATTTGAAGGCAATACAACCCATTTCCAATAACCCAATCCCATATTATACTCTCAAATTTCTAGGTAGACATCTACATAAACAAAGATATCAAAAAAGCTTAAAAGTGACAAATACATTCAATGCTCATGTTTTCAGAATACCATTTAAGTCAAATATGTTAATGTCAAAGTCACACAATTACTTTTTTTAGCTATCAGTTATAAAAGGAAGATCTATGTAAACACTTGTTTAAAAACTAAGACAAATGGAATCTACAGCTCTTTAATGAAGCACTAAGTAAAATTTCAATACAGAGAAGCACTGTATTTTGAGATAATGTAAGATCAAGCCAATACTAACAACTCAAATTATGAGCATTTCTATTAGAAATTTATCTAAGTAAATTTGTTAGCATCAGTATTTCTAAGCTCATGGCCAATTCACCTTTCTAGTAAGATTCAAATATATATTTGATACGGCTCTTTCACAGGTTTTCACATTAATCCTGAATTAAAAGAATTAACTGAATACTGAATTGAAAGAATTCTAATGCACTTTTAGAGATGTGCTTCTATTAACTCAGTGAAATAAAATTCACTTTTTTCTGAAAATTTCTCCTTAATGAGACAAATAGGGATGGAGTGGGCAAAAGAAATAGAAGATTCTGAATATAAGTCAACTCTTGTAAATCAAATTTCCTTCTTGTGTTGACTAAAACACAGTACATTAAAATTCTGTTTATTATAGATACTTGCAAAAATTCCCTTACTAAAACATTTGGTTATTTCTTCTACCTGTGGACATAGTACTTACCTCATTTTAACTAAAGTCTTTCATTACACTATAAAACATACAAGATAGGAAGTTCACTATAGAAATAAAACTTCACCACAGTCAAGGAAAACTCATCTTTGTCCCCCAAATTTCACAAAATGGACATTTCAAAATAAGCTGTTTATGTGCTTTAGAATTTCCTGTGAGGATTAAAACACCCTACCACAGAAGACAAATTAGTAAATTTGGATAGCATATATGGCACACTTACCCCTTTTTGGTTATTAGGTTTTCTTTAAAACAATGCTAACTAAATATTCATCCAAAACATTACTTATTCAAAGTGATCTAATTTACAAACTAAAACAATGGTAGTAAATTTCACACTGAGATGAAGGTGAGAGCAAGGTGACTCACATTAGCACTGAATTTTCTTTTAACAGGGAACATTAATCATTTGTAAACAAAACCCATTCTTAAACCACAGTGAGCAAAAATCACGCTATACATCCATTCAAGGGATTACTTCCTACCCTCTGTCACTTCAATTATGATAGCTGTGTAGTCAGGTTTTACAAATATTAAAAGCAAGGAAACCTGGAGCAAAAGAAGTGAGAACTAGAATATCCAGATGAAGCATAGCAGTTAGGATATATGGGAAAACACAAACACAAGGCTGGATAATATTAGGCAGATCTCATGACCTAAGAGTTGCAGAAATAATTTTTAAATATCATTACCACCAGTATCATTCATTGGAAATTAAGAGAACTTAATTTTCACATTGGCCTCAAAGTAACACTAAATCTTAAGGAGATGAAACATCTTAGCATATAAAAAAAGAACTTTTTATTCTTTTGCCTTTTTTTGTTCTTCCCAAATTAATGAAAAACTATAAACTAAATAAAGAATGCAAACCACCCTAAATCTTGTGCAATGACAACACAATCTAAGATTATGATACCTATGGTAAGTCTTACAACAAAATGTAGTTATTTAATCCATATTCAATACAAGATGCTTAAAATCTTTATCAAAGAAACGGACAGTGACTTGAAAATATGTAAAACCTCGTATTTCAGGGAGAGAAAAAGCATGAATAAAGAGTATATTAAAAAATAATATGGATTCATTACTCTTTGTACAGAAAGAAAAACTGAATCATTAACAGAAATTTGCTGTGTGGCATTGTTCCAAACAAGTAATAAGAGAAATGCAATCTAAAAGAAAGTAACTGTGAAAGTAAAATTATTTCTGTAAGAAGTGTACAATCTTAAAACACTGAACTACTTTTGTTTTGCTCAGAGTGGTCTGAGAATGGAGGCAGAAATTACAGAATATGAAATACAATGTATTTACATACTGAAAATTTACAATACTGATATTCCCATTAAAATATTACCTACTTGAACTTAGATACTGAATGCTTTTAGAAAAATTAATACATATTTTAAATGAGAGAATGCAATTAACATTACCAACAGCTCAAACACAAAAAAAATTAAGATGGGACAGACATTAACAGCTTGCCAACATCATTAAGTTTCCAGTTAAATTAAAAACTTGCCCTTTTAGCCATTCATCACTTTAATAATAAATTACATTATTGTTTTATTTATATACACGCTTACTGACATTCACGTTAGCTTCCAAGTTACTTGTATTCCATTTAGTCCATTTAAGATTTACATGAAAGCTCAAAAGGACTCATTTAAAAACTTCTATAAAGGTCAACAGACCCTATTATGATAATAATTAAATGTGCAGTTATTTTGTTTGTTTAAAAGTTTTTCACTTGAATATATTTAATCTTAGCCCCCAACCCTGTAAATTCACATCTACATCCGCAATAAATACTGTTTAGTATAGTAGCAAAGGTACAATATTCCAGGATAACAGAATTTTTTGCCCTAGAAATGCTTATGTAAAATTATGCTTGGATGAAGGCCCATAACAATATTACAACTCAATTCTGATTAATGTACAAACAAAACATGGGAATTTTGGTATGGTACACATCAGTGATTAAGAAAAAATGTCAACAATAGTTTGCAAGTTAGGAATTTATAGTTAATGTCTGAATGTAATGAAACCCAAGCCATGATACAGTTAGGTGTACCCATTACTGGAATGTAATGTTAGTTAATTCAAAGTATTTAAAATTAACAATGGACTTTTCAAGGAGTTTACTTGGCTGACTATGCTGATAATTTAACTAAAACCAGGAAGAAAACTCATTAATTAACTGGGTATAATCTGGTTCAGAAACCCCTTGATGGGCATATCCAATCTTGGAGATGATTAAAAATGTACGGAAGTTTTGTTATCATGCCTTCAAGTAATTAGAAGCTTGTTGATAAATGGCAGTCTAAATAAAAATATAACTTGTAGAACCTGTACCTTACTATAAATGAAATGGCTAATATAGTTACGCATTTCAAGTAATAAGTTGGCCACAATTCACCTTAAGCAACTGATGGACACTGAGAATTCTTTTCTTAAGATGGGATTAAGATCTATTCAACCCAAGGGGGAAAAAACTACATCTTTAAAATTTAGTGTCTAGATTTACATGACACAACATTTAATCCTTACATCCAAAAGCAGTATTAATTTCAATAAGCTCAGTTTTAGAGTGAGAGATGTTCTGCCTAATACTAAATGTTTTGAGATTTATATTAAGTTCTATAATACAATACATGGAAAACTATTTTAAAATTAAAGTTTTGATAAATATTTAAGATGCATGTTCAAAATGCTAGGAAAGTATTAAAACCGGCCTTTCACTTAAAATAGCCCATAAACCTGTAAATAATGTAACAGCTAATGTACCATAAAAATAAGATTTACATGCTTATTTTATAAATAGTATTATTCAAAAAGGATCTCATTTGCTAAAATATTATCTACTATAGTTAAAGAAACTGCTATTCTGTCACAGAATTACATACACTTGATAGTCTTTGATTTTTGCCCATAACAATTTAAATACTAACAATTACCATGACTAAATTTTCAGTGTTTCCCATGATTATGGAAAATAATTGTGTAAAGAGTAGTTACTGATAAGGGGTTTGTTTTAGCCTAATTTAATCTGGATATGCCACCAACATATAAAGAAAAAGTATTTGTTCACAGAATAACCTTTGTGTCACATGCACAAGCCTCACAGTGCCCTCCCCCTACTTTTCACATGAATAAATGCTGTTCACAAATATAAAAATAAAATTACACGTGAAAATGAAGTATAAACAGACAACTTCCCGCTTTATGAAAAATGTACACAAGAAATAGTTTTAAAATACAGAAAAAAAGACACAATGATTATGGTTTATGAATGAAACATCAAATAAAATTATTTCAAGGTTATTCTACCTAGGATGCATGATTTGATACAATTTAAAATTCTTAGATATGGAGTACCCTGAATCCATTTTAATTAAGTTTCATATCTTCTTTGAAAATTAAAGGATATGGTTTCTTTTATTTTAAAACAAAAACCAGATGCCAGGAAAAGTGTCTCTTCTAAAGAATATTTTTTTAAGTACAAAAGGTCTTTCAATGCTGAGAAACCATCCTCCTGTATTATAAGCTATTATATGTTAGATTTTCTTTAAAAGTTTTAGGGAGTTAGTTCAAGAAGGGAAACTTTCGATTTACTTTTAAAAGTCCAAGCACTATATATATATATATATATATAAAATATATGCACATATATTATATATATATGTATGGATTAACTTCTATTTTATGTTTCAAATTACATGCAAACTATCTATGCAATTAAGACAATTCCAATTTTTAGATTTTAGAAGTAGACATGAGTCCTCTTGATTGTTTTCTTAAGACCATTAACAATCTCAAAGTTTTAACTCAGCAATACAATATTCAAGGATAAAAGGTCAAATTTTTTTTTTACCTGTCATTACTCACCTGTCATTTGTCTCAGATGTTTCCAGAAGATTAAATTCAGAACAAGTAGTTGGACCATTTAAAATGTAGGTATATACTGTATAAACAATAGCCTTGGAGTTATAATTACTGTTAATAACACATATGCTAAATATAACAGGAACAAGGAATACCCACCTTCTTCTAACGATGACGATACTCGCGCTCTCGGTCCCGTTCTCGGTCCCGATCTCGGTCCCGGTCCCGGTGTCTCTCTCGTTCTCTGCTTCTCTCTCTATAATAATCATCATGACGATCTCTACTACGGGATTTATGACGCCGACTCTTTTCTCGTGATCTACTATGGTCCCTCTCTCTTGATCGTTCACGTCTTCTAAAAGAAATTACTGGATTAATGCTCTCCATAAGTGGATAGCAGTGTTTAAAAGTACCCGAGGCAAAAAATTCTTTACAAATCTAGTTTAGACTTAGGATGTCCTGAACTTCCAATAATGATTTACCAACTCACCAACAAGCATGAACTAGAAATTCCATTTTAAAAAATATTCACCCCCACACTAGGAACCAGACACACAGGGGCAATACATCTTATCATCTATAACATCTAATAGCCTAAAACAGACATGTAGTACTGAAAGATCAACAGAGAGGTAAAGGAGAAAAAATTTCAAAGGACATGTTGTTTCAAACTAAAGAATGTACAGAAGGTAGTTATTTTAGACATAAAATTCATGAGACTTAAATACATAAAAATTACCACCCATTAACAGGTGATCTAAACCTATATGTAAGTATCAATTTTACATTTATAACTATCCAAATATGATTCATCATGAGTCCTACTCCACTAAGAAACTTTCTTATATATGTTTGCTGCAGGGGTGTGTGGTGGGGAGCTGGGAGGCATGGTGGGAAGCAGAGTTCAAAATTTAGTACTTATGACCACTGAAAATATTGGGATACAACTCACATTGTTATTCAATAAAAAGAAATGTTTCATGAGCTGCCTTCAAAAACAAAACAAGGGCGCCTGGGTGGCTCAGTCGGTTAAGCGTCTGCCTTTGGCTCAGGTCATGATCCCAGGGTCCTGGGATCAAGTGCCGCATCGGGCTCCCTGCTCAGTGGGGAGCCTGCTTCTCCCTTTCCCTCTGCCTGCCTCTCCCCCTGCTTGTATGCACGCTCTCTTTCTCTATCAAATAAACAAATCTTTAAAAACAAAACCAAACAAAAAACACAGATAATTTAACCAAAGTATACTGCTTAAAATACTTTTAGAAATTCTGCTAAATTCTTCACAATTCTGGACTTCAAGCTCTATTACAAAGCTGTATCACCAAGATAGTATGGTACTGGCACAAATATAGACACATAGATCAATGGAACGGAATAGAGAACCAAGAAATGGACCCTCAACTCTATGATCAACTAATCTTCGACAAAACAGGAAAGAATATCCAATGGAAAAAACGACAGTCTCTTCAACAAATGGTGTTGGAAAAACTGGACAGCCACATGCTGAAGAATGAAACTGGACTATTTCCTTTTTTTTTTTTTAAGATTTTATTTATTTGGGAGAGCGATGTGCAAGCATGACATAGAGGCAAAGACAGAGGGAGAAGTAGATACCCTGCTGAGCAGGGAGCCCAATTCGGGACTTGGTCCCAGGACCCTGAAATCATGACCTGGGCCAAAGGGCAGCTGCTTAACCGACGAGTCACCCAGGCGCCCCTGAGAAACTGGACCATTTCCTTACACCATACACAAAAATAGACTCAAAATGGATGAAAGACCTAAATGTTAAGACAGGAATCCATCAAAATCCTAGGAGAACACAGGCAGCAACCTATTTGACCCCAGCCGCAGCAACTTCTTGCTAGACATGTCTCCAAAGTCAAGGGAAGCAAGGGCGAAAAATGAACTATCGGGACTTCAAAATAAAAAGCTTTTGCACAGCAAAGGAAACAGTCTACAAAACCAAAAGACAGGGACGCCTGGGTGGCTCAGTCAGTTAAGCGTCTGCCTTTGGCTCAGGTCATGATCCCAGGGTCCTGGAATCGAGTCCCACATCGGGCTCCTTGCTGAGCAGGGAGCCTGCTTCTCCCTCTGCCTGCCTGTCTCTCTGATAAATAAATAAAAATCTTAAAAAAAAAAACCCAAAAAACAAAAGACAACTGACAGAATGGGAGAAGACATTTGCAAATGTCTTACCAGATAAAGGGCTAGTATACAAAATCTATAAAGAACTCACCAAACTCAACACCCAAAGAACAAATAATCCAATCAAGAAATGGGCAGAAGACATGAACAGACATTTCTCCAAAGAAATCTAAATGGCCAACAGACACATGAAAAAGTCCTCAACATCACTCAGCATCAGGGAAATACAAACCAAAACCACAATGAGATACCACCTCACACCAGTCAGAATAGCTAAAATTAACAAATCAGGAAACGACAGATGTTGGCAAGGATGTAGAGAAAGGGGAACCCTCCTACACTATTGGTGGGAATGCGAGCTGGTGCAGCCATTCTGGAAAACAGTATGGAGGTTCCTCAAAAACTGAAACAAGGCAGAGGATCATAGGGGAAGAGAGGAAAAAATAAAACAAGATGAAACCAGAGAGGGAGACAAACCATTAAGAGACTTTTAATCATAGGAAACAAACTGAGGGTTGCTGGAGGGGAGGGAGGTGTAGGAATAGGGTAACTGGGTGATGGACATTAAGAAGGGCATGTGATGTAATGAGCACTGAATATTACATAAGACTGATGAATCACAGGCCTGTACCTCTGAAACCAATAATACATTATATGTTAATTAATTGAATTTAAATTGAAAAATGTTAAAAAAAGAAAGAAAGAAATTCTACTAAATTCTCAAATTCACAATAGGGAAATAACAACTGCCTGTAAGCTGAAATATCTATTTTGTATTTTTGCACCAGACAGCTAGACTTAGCAAACATTATTAGATGCTAAGCTCTTTGATCAAGGTAGAAGTTCTTATTAGTAGGGCTTAAAAAATTACAAAGACTATGTAAGGTATGGTCTTCAGCTATGATAAATTTGTTTGGATACAAAGATCCTTACTTACACTGGGTCAGAAAGGTACTAATTAGGAAGTTGGGGACCATGACCAAGACCAAAGTCTTAAGACTTTAACACCAGATAAAGTACACTGAAGACAGATCTATGAATATCATGTACAGATTAAAGATCTACCTTTCAAAAATATGGAAAATTTCAAGGTTAGCTGCAATGCTAAAAAAAGGAATTACCTAATGAGAAAACTTAAGAATAGACCATTCATTCATTAACTCCCTTATTCAATATTTATTTAGCACCTATTCTGTACCAAACACTGTTTAGTCATTAGAAATACTGCAGTGAACAGGACAGGGAAGGCCCCTTCCATCTTCCAACATGTGTTCTAGTGAAAAGAAATGTGCAATAATAATAAGGAATAGGAGCGCCTGGGTGGCTCAGTTGGTTAAGGGTCCAACTTTTGGTTTCGGCTCAGGTGATGATCTCAGGGTTATGAGAACGAGCCCCATGTCTGGCTTTGAGCTCAGCATAGAGTCTGGCTGGGATTCTTTCCCTCTTCCTCTCCCTCCCCCTCAAATAAATAAAAAAAATAGATTATGGTAAGTACTATGAATATGGTTAAGTACTATGAAAGAAATAAAAAGAACAACATGACAGAATAACCTGGGAGAAGACCTCTCCTAAAAGTTAGATTGAGTTGAGCATGAAGAGTAAGAAGCCAGCTATGTGAAGAGCCAGGAAAAAGGGCTCCAAGCCGAAGGAATATCAAGTATAAAAACAATGAGGTGATTAAGTATCGATGTATCAAGAGGAAGAAAAGAGAGACCACCATGACTAGAGAATACTGGGTAAGGGGTGAGGTACACAATGAGGCTGAAAAGACAGGCAGGTATCACACAGTGCCTCAATGTTTACAGTCTTATTCTAAAAGTAACCGGAAACCTTTGAAGGGTTTTAAAAGCAAGCAAACACCTGACATTTGATTCAATGTAAAAAAGGAAAAAAAAAAAATCACTCTAGATGTTGCATAAACAGTAATAAGTAAAATCAAAGTCCTATTTTAAAGTCCCCAACACAGTATTTTTTCTATTTGTAAAGTAACAGTTTTAAATAGACATGAGACAGGAAAAGTTTTACCTTGATCCAGAACCATAAGACTTGGATTCAATTCCATGAAGGCAATCTTGCAAAGAGCTAATAAGAACTTTGCAACGATCATCAGCAGATACTTTGGATTGTTTAATTAAAGAAATTGCAGTTACCAATGTCTCAATAGCACTCCCATAATCACCTATGAGGGAAAGGAGAGGGAGTGAAATCAAATAAATTGTTTCCAAAATACCACCAAACTGCCTGGGGTAAGAGTAATAAAGCATTTTATAAGAGAATACTAAAATAACTACAGAAGATTTCTTAATTTTTTTAGTGTTTTGCCATTTGGAAAAATGTGCATGAAATTAGCACAATTTGTTATTATTATAGCTGTGTAAATCAGGTTATTAATTTGTAAATATGAGAATCAAATTTAAGTCATTAAATGGAAGGACTAAAATTTAAATCTACACCTAAATATTTAAAATTATGGATCTTTTCATTACTGTGACACATAGCTTCCTTCAATGTCTTTTAAATAAACAAAGGTACAATTTGGGAATATGAATATAAGTACTAAATGCAAATGATCAATCTTCAAGATTGCACATAGTTTTAGGTCATTCCTAATAACATAAATAAGAAATATTAATACAGGAAGAAATATATATACAAACCAGCACTGGCATCAGACACAGCTCTTGAAATAGCACTGCTTGAGATTGCCCTATTTCTATTCATGATTTCTTCAAACTCAGCTTCACTCAATGGCGTTCTTGCAGTATCCATTTCCCTGTAAAATAAAAATAAACCTTAAATTGTACTCAACAAATCTTCTAAGTTAGTCGTAATAGTATAAAACAATTCATATTAGTTGCTTTTGACAAGTGCCTCAGAGCTAGTAGTTATTCTTCCAGAGTGAAGCATACTATTTATCCTACAAGGAGAACAAGTCTAAGCAAAATTCTCTTACACCACTATCTTTCAGCTGAAATAAAGTAGCAACTTAGAAACCTTGCCTTTCTGGAGGCCAGAAATAAGGTATTTAGATATCTACAATATAATATTTTTCAGAGTCATACAAAAACAGATATAATAAATTGTTCTGATGAATATATATTATATAACATAAAATAATATTTGTATCTTTTATTTATATATATTTTTAAATGTTGGAACAAAAAGTACAGCCCTACACAATTAAGGAATCTGGTTACATTTATGTCTGGATCCTCTAGGCACAGGACCCAACTCACAACAGAAGGATAACAAATGTCTGATTAATTAATATAACTTCAGGCAGGGACAAGATCTTAGACGATCTTGTTTGTCACTGAATCCCCAGAAGAGTATCTGGCAAATATAGTAAGTGTAAACAACTGTTGAAAAAAATGAATTAAGTGCCAAAATTTTCTAAAGCTGATTGACAACTTTAAAAATTGTACATGTACACTGTGTCAACGATACTTCAATAAAAAAAGAAAAAACTGTACATGTACAGTATAGAAAAAGGAAAGTTTTTTGCCATCTGAGTTACTAGTTACTAGATTAAGACATTGAGTTGAGGGACACAGTAGCAGTTCATTGCAATGAAATGAGAAAAAAGATAATCTAACCTTTTGCATGCTTTTTTTTTTTTTTTTTTCTTATCTGACAGAGAAAGACATAGTGAGAGAGGGAACAGAAGCAGGGGGAATGGGAGAGGGAGAAGCAGGCTTCCCGCGGAGCAGGGAGCCCGATGCGGGGCTCGATCCCAGGACCCTGGGATCATGACCTGAGCCGAAGGCAGACGCTCAACGACTGAGCCACCCAGGCGCTCTTTTGCATGCTTTTAAGGTATTACTGTTATTCCCCAAACTTTATAAACATCCTGAGCAAATTACAAGTTGTTCAAAATACAGGTATAATTTCAACTAAATGCTGTGACTTGTGCCCATCTTATCCCTCTTAAAAAAAAAATCCCACCTAAGATAGTTTTCTCTAATTTTCAATAAAAAATTAGTCATTAATTAACTATCCCCCCATCATGAAAACCTAATACTGCAGAAATTCTATTATGTAAGGAAAAGGATAGGAAACTCAAAATTTTAAATAGTCAAACCAAGTCATGTAACCCACTCTTATATACTAAAGGTGAACACTTAATATGAAGTCACTCACTGGAATTAAAGTGAACAGAAGTTATACTAGTTTAGCAGTTCTAACAGTTTTCTAAAGAAAATAGCATTTTTTAAAAAAAAGATTTATTTATTTGAGAGAGAGAGCATGAGTGGGGTAGGGGGTGGGGCAGACGGAGAGGGAGAAGCAGACTCCCTGCTGACCAGGGAGCTCAACCTCAGGCTTGAACCCAGAATCCTGAGATCATGACCTGAGCCAAAGGCAGACACTTAACCAATTGAGCCACCCAGGTGCTCCAAAACAGCATTTTTGACAGTCATATAGATGCAACCTCTACAAATGGATAATGGTCAATGGGCTTTGCTTACAACATCAAATTTATTGCCATGAGCCTGTGCAATTGCATGGAATTAGGCAGATTCTCAAATCCATTCCCTTTAGGACATTATCAGACAAAATGAAATACAAAGTAATTCAACAGTGATAGTTTAAAAATATAAACTCAGAAGAAATTAAAGCGGGCAAAAGATTATAAACCTAGCTCTCTAAATTATGTTTTGAGTACGGATAGTTTTTAAAGGACTTTTGAAAGGGGCTAAGAGATCACTTACTTCAGTAGTGATTTCCACCCAGCTCTTCTCCAAGGATCACCATTAATTATTTTAATTTCCACAACAACTGTGTTTTACAAGCCTTCGTCTACCCAAATGTATTTGTAAATTATTGAATGCTCCCGTTTTAATTAAAAGTTGGTAATTTGCTACTCAGGACTCCTGATCAGCATGAGATAATCAACAGTACCTATATAACAAACTAATCTAATTCCTAAAATGAAGAAACTTTAGTGCTCTGTGTATTATCACCAATGGTAAAGGAGATTCATTTTTAAAATCTTAACAGTAGCTTAAGGATCCCATTTGCTCACTTAAATTACCTTTATTAACCTCTTTTAACTTAAAAAATAATGAAAATGAATCCTCAGGATTTAGTGATTTGCTCTAAATCATGCAGCCTAATTAAGTGGCAGAGGTGGATTATTCCCAACAGTTCTGTATGTCTTTCACCATATGATACTGCCTCTTCTAACGAGAGAACAATATAGAAAATTAAATATCTGGGGGAAAGCTCATAATTTAAAAAAACAAAAACTTAGTGATGGCAGTGTGGAGTACCTTTTACCAATCAAATACACCAAGTCTACCGTCATAGATACATACTAACTTACCTTCCAGGAGGCCCATAGTCACCCCTATCATACGGTGGGGGTCGGCCATATGGATCTGTTGGTGGTGGACCCCGGCTATCTGAAGTAGGCATGCCGCTGTTAGTCGGTGGAGGAAAGAAAGCCGGGTTCACATGTGGAGCTGGTGGTGGGGCACCTGGAGGTGGTCCAGGAAGATGCGGAGGAGGAGCAAGTGTAAGGGGTGGCCCAAGAGGGCCAGGTGGGCGAGGTGGAAAGGGGCCTGGAGGTGGAGGTGGTCCCTGTTGTGGAGGTGGCGGACCAGGAGGGGGGCCGTAGCCTGGAACTGGAGGTGGAGGGCCAGGAGGAAGTGGACCCAATGGAGGCTGCCCAAAAGGTTGTCCAGGAAAAAGAACTGGTGGTGGAGGGCGATCTCCTCGATTAGGAGGCCCAGCTAAAGGAGGAGGCAGAACCTGACCAGGAGGTGGAGGACCCGGTGGACCAGGTGGGCCTGGAGGACCTAAGGGTGGACGTGGTGGAGTCTGTCCAGCTATAGAATAAAGGAGAGAGGAGAGAGAGAGAGAGAAAAAAACCACTTCAATAAGGTACTGTAACCTTTATGCCAAGATTATACTTTTAAAGCACAACTCATAGACGAAGATTCTCTTTAAATAAAACCCATATGGTAAATGCTACACTAACAACTACAAAAGTGAACTATATCTTTACAAATTTAACTAGTTCAATTTATGCTTAAGAAAAATTATTGAAACAAAAAACATTAATAAAGAAGATTATAATGCTTAGAGATAGTTTCCACCTTTCAGCGTACACACATTTCTTACAGTGAAATCACCCACCTTATATTCTACTCTGATGCCAAGCTAGAAAGTGAAACAAGGAAAAATGGTCTTGAAAGGATTTTTTAAGAGGTAAGAAAATAAGACGGATGTAAATATTCTATATATAAGTCAAGCAAGTTTGGAGAAAAATAAAGACCTTTTAGGCCAAAAATGGGTATTTCCTCTATGCTGTGCCCCATATGCCATGGAATCCTAGTTTCCAGGAACAAAGGCCGAGTTCCTTTAACAAGATGCTTGATCAAATTTCCTGGATTCCAAAAATAGCATAACAAGGAGAGTAAGTCACATTAATAATGCATTACTTGAAAAAGAGAGAAAAGGAAAAGAGGTATTAAGGTAGACACATTTTATCCATGGTAATTTAAGAAAAATTTTACCTGGAAAAGGTGGGGGTGGCCCTCCTGGTCCTGCTGGTCCAGGAAATCTGTCCCCACCGGGAACAGCCCCTGGAAAACGGCCCCGTCCTCTACCACCTTGTGGAAATGCTGCACGTGAACTGCCTCCTGGAGGACCAGCTTTACCTTCCCCAGACATTTGTCCTGATTGTGTAGCTGCAAATATCCAAATACTCATAAATAGCATTTATTAAAATAGTCCTCTGAAATGTAACCACTACTATTAGAAACAACTCTATTTCAAAGTTCTGTATGCTATAGGCTAACGTGCAGATGCCTTGGGCCTATCCACACTACATGAGGAAGTACTGGTTAGAAAACTTTCACATCTAGTTAAGTTCTTTTGAAGTCTCAAAATATCCAGACTTAAATATATTTCCAGCAGGTAAATGAGTTACTTTCAAAATACCAGTACTCTACAGCAGCCAAGACTAAAATTCTCCCAACAGAAATCTGAATTTCAATAAGCATAGACTACTTAAATTTTGTATCATATTCTTCAGTTAAGTCTTAAGTGCTAAAACATTAAATGAAAAACAACCACTTGAATTTGTTAATTGCATGATCATCCACCTTATCTCTTGAAGTGATAGCATTCATTAAGCGTGTAATGGCAAATCTTTTCTGTATTCACTTTACCAAATGGTGGAAGGTCTTGGTGCCAAGCAGAAAATCAACGAGTATTTTCTGGTTACCAGTTGTTTCTCCCCTACCACAACACACATCCACATAACCTTCCTTCAATCTAAGGATTAGAATGTAGTTTCTTCCTTTCTCTAGGATGGGAATGACAGGACAAGAACGGCAGGGCTATAGAACTTGCACACTGTTATATAATACTGGGTCTGAGACATGTGGAGAAAAATGGGAATGGGTTTTCAGTACACTGGACCATAGTCACAAACCAGATTTAATTCAAAGGATGGACTTTCTAAAATGGATTCTCCAATGAACTAAATATTAAGATGACTTCTCTAGTGTAATATCTAACAAACACTAGCAACACTGGTTAAAATGCACATCTTTTAATAAAGGCCTCTGAGGGATTGCTTACTTTTCCTGGACTGCATTTCAAATTGACTCAGGAACTGTTTATTGCATGGAGTTACAACAGGATTCTGACCATGAAGTTCTCTTTTAGGCAACAGATCCATTAACTTTTTTGAGGATGCTTCAGATCCAACCCCAACAAGGGCAAACCTAAAAGATGTTTAAAGGAGTGAGGGTAGGTGAGGAGAGATTAACAAAGCTACTGTTATTAAAAAGGAAATGGTGTGAATTTACCTTTATCTAAGAAAAATAAAAATATTTCTTAAAACAAAACAAGTTCATACTTTCATCTTTAACTTTTTCAAAATAACACAGCATACACTTTGCTCATTTAAGGTGTACAATCCAGTGTTTTTTTAGTATATTCAGAGTTTTGCAACCGTCACCACAATTTTAGAGCATTTTCATCATCTCAAAATGAAACTCCATACTCGTTAGCTGTCACTCCATTTTCTCCCATCCCCCAACTGCAGGAAACCACTAATTCACTTTCTGTCTCTATGAATTTGCCTATTCTGGACATTTTATATATATAAAATTATACGACACGTGATCCTTTGTGATTAGCTTCTTTCACTTAGCATGTTTTCAGGGTTCATGCATGCTGTAGCATGTATCATTACTTAATGTCTTCTTATGGCTGAATAGTATTTCATATGGATATAGCACATTTAAAAAAGTATCCATCAGTTGGTGGGCATTTGGGTTGTTTCCATTTCTTGGTTATTATGAATAATGCCCTGTGAAAAGATGCCCAATGTCACTATCAGGGCAATGTAAATCAAAAGCACAATGAGATGCCATTTCATATCCACTAGGATGGCTATAATCGAAAAGATAAAAAGTGTTGGTGAGAATGTGGAGAAATTAAAAATTTCATACACTGCTGATAGGAATGTAAAATGCTGTGGTTACTTTGACAAAACGTGTGGCAATTCCTTCAAAAGTTAAATACAGAGTTAACATATAATCCAATAACTCCAATATTGATGAGTGTATGTATGTGTGTATATACATATACACACACACACATGCACATACACACACCTAACAGTACTGAATATGTGCTCATACAAAACTGGTACAAGAATATTCACAGGGGCATTATTCACAATAGCAAAAGTGGAAACAACCCTAATGTCCATCAAGTGATGGATGGAATAAAGATGTAGTATATCCATATGGTATTCAGCCATAAAAAGAATTAAATGCTGATACATGCTACAACATGGCTGAATCTTGGAAACATTACGCTAAGTGAAAGAAGTCAGTCACAAAGGACCACATACTGTATGATTCTACTTACATGAAATGTTCAGAATAAGCAAATCCATAAAAATAAACTGTTAAAGGGTATGGGATTTCTTCTGGGGGTGATGAAATGTTCTGGAATTAAAAAGTGATAACAAATATACTAATAACCAACAGACTGAACATTTTTATTTTTTATTTATTTTTCTTTAAAATTATTTTTATTTATTTGTGGGGAGGGAGAGCATGCGTGCGCACAAGCAGGGGGAGAGCAGGCAGAAGGAGAAGCAGGCTCTCCACTGAGCAAGGAACCCGAGGCAGGACTGGATCCTAGGACCCTGGGATCATGACCTGAGCCGAAGGCAGACACTTAACCAACTGAGCCACCCAGGTGTCCCAGACTGAACATTTTTAAAAGGTAAATTTTATGGATGTGAATTATATCTCAATTAAGAAAAATAAATTTGAAATAGAAAAAAAGAGAAAAAGAAAGAAGAAAAAAATGAGAGAAAAAAAAGAATGGCTCCAATTTCATATAGTTATAGGATATTCTAGATTATTCTCAGAAGGGCTCTTAGGAGCTTAGAACCCTTCTCTTCCTAATGTTCAAAACGGCTCTTTAACTAGATCCCTTATTCTAGTCAACAAACAATTCTGCTGTGTGACTCAAAATTATCTTGGGTCACAACACTTAGAAACAATTTAATGAATTCATTAATTTAACAAGTATTTATTGAACACTATCACCTGCATGCCAGACACAATCCAGGGCTAGGGACATAAAAGTGAAAACAAAATCCTTCCTCTCGTGGAGCTTACAATCTAATGGAGACAAGACCAGTAAGTAAAATATACTATAATAAAGAAACAGAGTGAAAGGAGCAGAAGGTAATATTTTGCATAGGATGATGAGGAAAGAGAACTCTTTCAACAGAGTCCTGAATGAAGTGAAAGAGAGATCCATGTGGATATTTGGGGGAAAAAAAACAAGAATAAGAAACTACTAGTGTAAAAGTCCTACGTAGGAATGTGTTTGAAGAACAGCAGAGATAATGTGGCTGAAACAGCATAAGGAAGGCAAAGAATAGTACGATTTAAGGTCACACAGGTGGTGGGGAAGAGATCACATAGTGCCTTCTAGGCCACAGTAAGATTCTGGCTTTTACTCTTAAGTGATAGGGGACCATCAGAAGAAGATCTGAGCAGACAAATATTGATGTCACTTTTTTCCAACGTTTACACTGTGCAGTAACATAAGCTGTAGGGGATTTAGGGTGAAAGCAAGAACACCAGGTAGGAGGCTATTACAAAAGTTCAAGTAAGAAATAATAGTAGCTCGGGACCAGGTAACAGAAGTGAAGTTCATAAGAAGTGGTCGGATTCCATATATTTAGAAAATATTCTTCATGTAAACTAATACACTGAACATGAAACAAGCATACTAAGGCATATTCCTTATCATTCTGCATCTAGTAATTTATCTTAAAAAAATCCAAAATCTGCACCTGAAAGTTTATATAAAATGAAGCCTGCTGTAACATTATTTATAATAGGGACTGAAAATCAAATAACCAAAAATAAGAATAGTAAAATAAATTACTGGGGTGCCTGGGTGGCTCAGTCGTTAAGCGTCTGCCTTCAGCTCAGGTCATGATCCCAGCATCCTGGTATCGAGCCCCGCATCGGGCTCCCTGCTCAGCGGGAAGCCTGCTTCCCCCTCTCCCACTCCCCCTGCTTGTGTTCCCTCTCTCGCTGTGTCTCTGTCAAATAAATAAATAAAATCTTTAAAAAAAAAAAAAGTAAAATAAATTACTGTAGCATATAAGGTATGATGGAAAGAATTAAGACATTACAGAAAATGGGAATTTATGGATAAATATGTTTTACTCATTTATGAAACATGTGAATTATAATCCTGTTCTTCACATCCAAAAAAATTTTTAATTTTTTTGCACTAAATATATTATATGAGCACTAGGGAAAAACCTGCAAGTATATTCACTAAAATCTTAAGAGTGATCATGTATGGATGGCGAGCTTGTGGCTTTTTATTTTCCTATTTCTGGGTACCTGTATTTTATAGAGTGATCATGTATGGATGGCGAGCTTGTGGCTTTTTATTTTCCTATTTCTGGGTACCTGTATTTTATAATGTTGCTCTAATAATCCTATCTCATGTATATAATTTAATAGTTACACAAAACATTCATGTTACATTATTCTCCAGTTGCCCATCTTTCCCCATCCCTTAATCACAGGATAATAATGCTTCTTCAAACTGTCTTCAATAATCATTTCAACCACAAATGGAGAAAACTCAGGAAAATTAAAAAGACCTAATCTGCCCACACTTTCCGCTTCACTAGTTTTAGTAAGATCACAGGGTAGACGAAGTAAGTGAAATGAAGGGAATCTCTGCCCAAGAACTTTCTGCCAATGTGAATAATAAAGCCTGCATATAGTTAGCATTAAGAATAGTTACTCCCAAAATTACAATCACTAGCTACTAACACATTAGGGGGAAAACAAAATTAAAATTCTTACCCCTTTGACTGGCCATTTGCCCGATTTTCAAAAAATTTTATCTCCAAAATATCATTTACTCCCAAAGAATGAACTGCTTCAGTTAAGTCTTCATCTGTTGTCCACTGCAAGACATTTCCCCCTCATTAACCATCAAAACATATCCAAGATTTTAATTGTTTCAACTTGTTAAGAGTAAACTCAGAACAAACAAGAGACAGTTAATGCTCAGTGGAAATCTAAGCAGTTACTGCCAGTTAGTCTTTAATTTTTAAATGGTATAAAAGCACCTGAGGACATAACTTCATCCCTTGATAAGAGTTTCAGAAATTAGAAGGTATATTATCCTTGGAGATAAGATTCATTTTTTTTTTACTCTTAAAGAGTCTCTCCCAATTTTAAACTGCTATGATGTTAAATTTTTAATAAAACCAATCTCACTTATCACTTTTCTCCTTAAAGGAAATTATATCGGGAAATAAATTCCACCTTATGTTTGAGTATAAGATTTAAAAAAAAGCACTAACATGTACTGAGTACCTATCATGTACTTTATATCAAATATTTAACTCTTAAAATGATCCTGTTAAGTCCTATTATTATTCCCATTTCTCACATGGTGCTATGGAGAAATTAAAAAGCTTGTCCAAGATCACAAAAGTAATAGATGGACAAGCTACAATTCAAAGTCTTCTTTAGCAATCACACTCCTCACAACTACACTGATAATGTCTCCAATATTATAAAACTGCTCAGACTGAGTGGTTGGAGATAGGTTAATTTTTTAAAAATGTAAACATTTTAAAATGCTACCAAGGAAAGAAGGATGACAAATTTTGATTTCTAGACAATTTTTAAACTGTCAAATGTATGTTCTAAATGCTTCTAGGTAGAGATGTAAAGATTCTATAGGACTATTTCGATGAATATTTAAGATTTAATGCTAAAAATCATAAATGTTTTCCTGTTATAATATATATATTATATATACACTCATGTATAAATAATAAATATACACTGAACACACAGTTAATGAAACTCCCAATTAATAATCTCAGTCTCATAAAAACCCAAATTCAAATACAATGCATATAGCAGTGTTTCCATAAATGAGATTTCCCAAATTTAAAAGCAGAAATGAAATTCAACAAGTTTGTAATATAAATTAGATAATGAAAACTTTTCTAAAAAAATATTTCTTTTTTTAAGTAATCTCCACACCTAACATGGGGCTCCCAACTCACAACCCCAAGATCAAGAGTCACGCACTCTTCCGACTGAGCAAGCCAGGAGTGAGCCCTAATAATGAAAACTTTTTAAAACCCCAGGTCAAACTGTTTGTTCCTACAGTTCTGAATCCTGGTTTCAGACCTTATGTGAGTATTTTTCTTTGTAAAACTAGGATAGCAGAAGTAGTAAAGTAAAAAGAATACCTGATTTAAACTTAAAATAACTGAATTATATTTAACCGGAATCTCTACCAAAACAAGCTGAATGACCACAAAATTCACCAAAACTAGATTTGGAATTTATAATGTCTAAACGTACTTGAATTTCTCTCCTCACTGCATAAACAAGCATACAGAACAAATCTTCAAATTTTTATTTTATAAAACTGGAAGAAATTAACTACTTGAATAGTTCAAAACCAACTACCAATAATTTAATTCATTATGTTAAATTTACTTACCCATGTTAGATTTCCAATATACAATGCAATTCTCTTGCCAGTATATGTATAGACAACATTTGGTGCTGCTCCTTTACCCACATCATCACCAACAGTTGGTGGGAGAGTATCCATGTAATCACGGTCTTCTGGGGCATCTCCATTATTTGCAGATGGAGAGATGACATCATCATACAAATCTATCTGATCATGCCCACCATATTCAGCTTCCTGAGATACAGAAATAATGCTCTAAATTATAAAACAGTCAGACCACCACTAAATAGATTTGAATACAAATTCATTAAACTATTTTGTTTTAAAAATCTGGTAGAAGATAAAGCCCCAAAGATCTCAGTAAAAATCTTCTCTTACTTCACACCATAGATGTATTCTTGAATGGTAACTATCAAGTAAATTTCTATACAATAAATCCTATTTTTCCACTTATATATAATATAGGAAATAATGTTCCTTGGGGAAAAGAATGATATGGAAACAAAATAAAGTAATAATATAAAACTTTCCTTGGAAGTACAATACTCTTAAGAGTAAAAGTAACAATACATGAATGCAAATAGGTGGACTTTAAAAAAATGACACAAAAATATCACAAACAAAACTCAGAGCCATTATAAATCTTTAATATTTAACTGCAGAAAAATACGACTATTATTTTCTATGGTATTCAGGATCTTGTTTCCCAGCTCTGTGAAAGGTATTAGTTTTTTAAAAAAAGCACAGTGAGCTAAGCCAAAGGGAAGGGATGAAGAAATGTGGGCACATAAATTATTCCAAATGTCATAACAAATGAACAAGGAAAAGAGAAACAATAAATAAAATACTCGTAAAACTATCCAAATTAGTACTCAGCAACAGTTTCATTATTCTCAGTCAACAAAGAGTTAATGCTTACCGGACTTCTTAGATCTCTAGTCAATTTAGCAAGAGGTATCTAGTCAATTAGCAAGAGAAAAGTGATATGAACAAGGATCTAGTAAAGCTCTGCCACTGTCACCAGCAGAGTTAAAACAATGCCAGTGGATGCCACTTACGTGCCTAAATGGTAAGCAAAGGAAAAAGGAAAACAAAAAAGAAACAAATGTACACAGGAGAAAAATGAAAAAGGAGGGTTCTAGCATAAATAATTACAAGAAAAATGAAATGCAGACGTTGGCAGAACACTCAACACCATTTAAATTGCCCTTCCACAGGCTTGACTAGCCAGAATCAGAAGAAAACTACTTTTATCTTTCTTCATTTCCATCACTAAGTATCGAAATCAATGTGAACTATTTTATTTTTCTTACAAGGTAGAGTATTTGAGATAATAAAAGAAGAGAATTACAATTATAAAACAACAAACTTGAGAGCTCAGAAATGGGTTATATCCTCTCATAATTTGTTAAGGATGAGGTGTTACATAAATGGCACATAAGGAGGAGCTAAAGGTTCTAATAGTTTTAAGGACTATTACGAGGACAGAGAAATGACCCAGAGAAAGCATTTGTAATAGGACTATAAACAGATCAACAGAATTTTGTTATTATAGGCCCCAAGAGAACATAGCTATTGCTTTGTTATCCAGAAGAGCGGCAGAGTTAAGATTTTTTTTAAAAAAGAAAAAAACCTAAAAGAGGAAATACTAATTATACAAATAGCCAAAGGAATCTGAAATTTACAAAGTCATCTTCAGGTAATCTTCTGCATTACTGAGTCAACCAATTTACTAATTATATAACAGTATCTTTACATAACATTTTGCTATGAGGTAGAATGTCTGTACGACTTATCTATAAGGAATCCAAGATCTCTAGGTTAAGTCACAGAACAAAGCCATCTTTAGCAATGGGCAGAAACTAGACAAGTCACTACATTATGTCTTGATTTTATTTTGTTTGTACAGCAATATCAAAATAATCTTTTAGAACTAAGTTTTTGTTAAACAAAGTAACATGCTCAAATTGCAGTGACAGTAAAAATTAGAAAAAAGGAGGATGAGTTTTGTTATGAAGTTTCAGTGTAGCTGAAGCTTCAGGTAGCGTGGCTGAAGCAGTGGTTCCATACACTTAAGATACTAAAAAGATTCCCACAAGCGGTAGTGGGCATTTTAAACTCTTGCAATCCAGTTCTGCACATCAAGTGGTATTATTATTATTATTCAAAGGGAGTTGTGTTTCCATCCTCCTCAGCAGAGATTATAATCACAATATATGGTCTGAGGGAGAGTAAAAAAGAATGCAAGGATTATTTAAATTTTACACTTTCATGAAACAGGTTAACACATTGATTTTTCATTAGTTGTAAATCTAGGAAAATGTTTACTTAAGTAGACAATAATTTACAAGCATAATCGCAGCTACACTAACCTGGTGAATCACAATCACTTACTATTTTTGTCCGTCCACGAATTCCTATGTTGACACCAACCAATTTTCCAGATTGATATGATTCTACCAATATTTAGGATCAGCCATTTTGTCTGGTAGTTGGACTGCTTCCAATTGGTTGAAGTATGATGCTAATTGAGACCAGGGTCCTGGGGTTTGATTTCCATGTGGACTAGTTAGCTTCACTCTGTTCCAAGGCCACAGCCTGTACTTCTAGCCCCAACGGTATGCATTTGGATGTGGTGAAAAAATATTAATGAATCTGAATACAACTGCTGCCATTACTAAAAATGAAACTCAAAGCACATATCTTGAAGTATCAGTACTCTTCCTTTTCAGCTTCAGCATATCACATCTATCCTCCACATTAAAAAAAGATATAGAACACATCTACTTTCTGTTCCCATTTTAAAAAGGAGGGAAACACACATATTCTGAAATTATGCAAAATGTGTATCATAGGTCATATACAAAGAAGGTGAGCTCTGAACATCTACTGAACAAAAAAATAGCTTCTACTTTGTCAAAGAGAAATGGTCAACAGTGTCAAGTTCTACTCTGGAAAGAATCTTTTCAATTATTATCTTTAGGAAATTTTAATGGCATTCAAAAACAAACAAAAATCAACAATGCCCCTCTAAGTATTTTAGATGTCAAATGCTGCCCAGTCTATCTACTTTTCATAGTAACTAATCTACTGATAGAGCTGCACATTACATTAACTTCCAATAAAATAACAGTACTCAGTATTTGTTAAAAAAAAATCCAGTAATATTTTTCATTCCCCACATTCTAAATCACTAATCATTCTAGCGGCAAGGCATCCTTTTAAGATTTTACACTTTGAGATTACGTTCTATATGATGTACAAGTAGCTGTTGCCACATTAGAGAAAACAGTTTTAAAATTAACACGGATAGTAAAATAACCAAAATCCTATTAGCTCCCTTTTAAAGGCAATGTTTCTTCTTCCCTTCAAGGACTTATTTTTAGACATATTTTCCTTAATCACCTCCCAAAATTTTAGCGTAACAGATGTCCTGTATATAAATTCTGTATACCATCACTGGGCTGACCAAAGAATAACTGTACTACATTCTTCATTCTCCCTGACAAGCCCAACATGGCTTTTGGTGATCCTAAATTGTAATAGCATCCCTCCATTATACAAGAGTTCCAGTAATGGTACAGCAAAGGCCACCTGTTTCAAAGCCCCTCTATTTAAAAAAGGAGAAGAAAGAAAAAAGAAAAAAAAGAGAAAGGAACTTAAAATCCATTTCCATTTGGAAATATAAAGGGGGGAGGTTTACATTTTGCATTTACAAAATGTATTCTTTACCAAGGAAGAAAAATACTAGCATGGAAAATCCAGAAGATAATCGAATTCATATTTATCTTTATAGAAAATATTTCTGATTTTTATCTACTTATGTTCTAATACATTTGAAAATTAGTTTTATAATCCCTGTAAAAAGATCAACTAATGGTAAAGAAGCCAACTTCTTTACTAAAAATATGCCACATAAACCACAAATGGTGGACAATTCATAGGCAGCTGAATAAACTACACTCATAAATTATAAAACTGAGTGGGAAGAGTTCTAGTTCCCCTAAATATTTCTGCCAAAGTTTCTGAATCAATCTCTACCTACCTCATTCTCAGCCTTACAGCTTTATCTCAGAGGATTTTCTATTAAACATAAATTTATCAGAAATAAGGTTTCACTGACATTTGCCCAGGAAACTCACTTTCCAAAATCGGCTAGACAACTGGCTAGAGTAGATACATAATGATTAAATATAAAGTATAATGACTCATGAAATAAAGGCAAGTTGACTTATGAGGATGTCTGGGTCCTTAGATTTCTAAACAAATTTTTTCCCCAGCCATAACCTATATATATTTTCATTTTAAAACTCAGTGGTCAAATTACTAAATCATCACTGTTACCAGTGACCTACCACTAGACAGATCAATAACTAAATCCGGTATTAAGAGCTTTTGATTTCCAAACAAGCAAAATACACACTTCAATGTATACAGTATAAACTTTCCTGAGGTTCCTAGAATTTTTGACTTTCCCCATCAATAAAAATTCTACAGATAAAGATACACATAAAGGAGTTTTATAACATATGACTTGTCAAGAGTGTTATAATTATGTAGATGTCTCTCACCCCCACTACAGTGCATTGTAAGAGTAGGGACTATCTGAATTTTGTATCCCTCCTTGTTGGCATTTAACAGATATTCAAGAAATGTATTTTGAACAACTGAGTTTGAAAGTTTTTTATTTAGTCTTGGTCAAAATTAAAAAGTCTATAATTATTAAATATTAGGTTATTAACTACCACATTAATAAAGTACAAATCCCAGTTCAAATTGGACTGACACATACTATAGAGGCTGAAACAGAACCGTTTTCTTCTCAACTCCAAATTCAAGTAAGGTAGAGGTTGGAAGTAGTTCAAATTTTCCTTCCACTGGAGCAACTAACTGTTCTCAATTCGGTTACATCCAAAGACCTTTAATTTAAGAACTAAAGAGCACCCATGAGGAATAGCCAAGTCCCCTGTGCCTTCTTTCTCCAACTTTATTCTCCATTCTTAAATTCATCTGGTGATGAAAGGAACTCTATAGTTTCACTAAACTTATTCTCACCCCATCCCCAAATTAAAGTTTCTTCTAAGACAGCTGACTGTCTCATACTTTTTGAAATAGGTTTATACTGTGCTTAACCAAAATACACACCTGAAAAAAAAAAGCTTCATAAAATACCATTTAAAATAGAAGAAAATGGAATATACAGACTACAGAGAATTTCAAAGTACACAAATGCAATTAAATCTGCAGCTCACAGTAAAGAACAAGGACTTTTTTTTTTTTTTTTGAAGGTTTACAGCAGTTTAGAAGCCAAAATAAGTCGACTGGTTATACTTAGTAAAACACTTTACTCAACTACAGTTAAGAGTCATAGTTTACTATAGCAACCAGTAGAAATAAGGTCACCAGCTCACAATAAAGAGAAAATTACATCAGTTATAATTCTGTAGTTGCTTCTAATTCTGATGAGTTTTCAGAAAAATATTTCAATGACAGTAACATTTTTATAAAAAAGAGGATGGACCTTGAAAACAACCAACTATCCTTTTGTGGCCATATTTTGCAAAGGAATTACCACAGCAAGCAGATTACAAAGGCCAACGATATGCAAAATATTAACAAAAACAAAGCCTCCGTTTAATCCCATTAATCTTTTCAAAAGTATAAAGATTTTACTGGTAAAATATACAACTATGTGAGAGATAAAATGCTGTAAGTTCAAGTCAACAAAAAGCTACATTTTTAAGAGAACCCTATAAAATAGTTCCTCATCAGGGCCAGAAAATTTTAATCTCTTCCCACCTCCTGCTCAGTCAGCACTAGTTACTGCACAAGGATAAGCAAGTATCACTCCTTCCAGCTATATGTATGAGAAATGGCCATCCCAAATTAAGTATGGGAAAGCCTTAAAAAAAAATCTTTCATGAAGAGGACCTCAAGAAAGCTCAAATTCTAAAACTGTACCCAAATTCTTCTTTTATCATAGGGGAAAAGGCAAAGCAAATGTATTGTAAGAAAAGCTAATGAAGACAGTCTTGAATATTTAATTGCTCCTTTACTTTCAGGTATGGCCCTCTTTTGGATGGAATGTTATATCCATTTGATAAATAGAAATTCCCTAGAGGTCTTTGTCTACTGATCTTAAAAGCATTAACATCTGATTGTAGTGCCCGAGATAATTTTCTAATTTGCCACTGACACAACTCAGTCATCACAGTTCTAAAATATAAACACAATAAAAAGAATTAAGATTTTAAAACTTAACGTTTGATTACAATATCCAGTCTTTAACGGAGTAGCAACCATTTAAAGCTAATTGAAAAATATTTTTCTTTTCCAATACTTAAACCAGAGACACAAAGTCATTCCTGAAAACAAGAACAGTTAAGGATTTCTAGCTTTCCCTCATTTAAAAAAAAATCTTGAACCCCTAGTCAGAAATAAAGTCCTGAATGTAGTGGGGGAAAAAAAAGAAAAAGAAAAAACATAAACCACTAAAATTGTATCAAGCTTCTCTTACAGACCTGGAATATAAAAAATCAAGCTTTTAGGTGCACTACAGTTAGGCACAATTTAATTTTTTAAAATGTGTTACTACATAAAGGCAGTAAAGATGTGAACAGCAGGCTTAGAGCTTACACGTCACTACTCTAGTAACAAACGAGATCTTTTGCAAGGATGCCCAACATCAGACATCACAGCTCCGCGGCTAGTTCTTCCAGGCAACTGTGGCTTGAGAGATACCGGAAAAACCTCCCATTCTCACTTTCTCCAACCTTTCAAAACGCAAATTAACAGATCCCTCGGAGGGCATTTTACATTTGCTTTTGAAAATCGGGTCTTATTTACAACCTTTTAAACTATACTAAAAGAATTTCGGGTGAACGTTCTTTATTTTAATCACTCCTCTTATCTCTCGGTGAGCTACCATCTCCTCCCCTCCCCCCATCCAACCAACACGCTTCCAAGTCTTCCTTTTGGCTCAGGCCATCTATCTTCACAGGTATTTTCATCACAAAAGCCAACAACAACTGGGCCTCAAAAGCACTGCAAGACCTCGACCACCGAGGCACGGCCCGCGCACCGACTCTGAAACACGATCGATGGTGCGAAAGTCAAAGGACTTGTTGCAAACGTGCTCACACCGAAGCCGCCTTCACAAAGTGTGAGGAAAGGAGGAAGAAGGCGCCACGCCGAAACCTGTCGCAAACGCGAGCAGGAGCCCAGGAAACCGGGCGCGCGGGATACAAAGGGCCATGAATGCGGCCTTCCATGAGGCGACCGTGCGCGGCCGGGGAGACAAAATGGAGCGACGAGAGGAATCGGAGCCCGAGCTGCAGGGTCGGGGAAAAGGCGGCGCCCCGCGCGCGTCCCGCCGGGCTTCCTCCTCGACCCGGCGGCGGGGGAGGGGGCGCGGCGGCGGCCCTTTCTCCCCGCCGCGCACACGCGGCCCCACCGCCCGGGCCTAGCGCGGCGGGAAGCGCCCGCCGGCCGCCGCCAACAATGGGGAGGTGGCGGCTGCGAGGGAGGGGCCGGCGGCGTCTGCACGGCGGCCCGCGTCCGCGCTCCGGACCCTGCGGCGGGCAGCAGCATCCGCGGTCCGCGAAACGACGCGGTAGAACGAGGGGCGAGGGGGGAGCCGCGCCGGGCTCGGACGGCGCGGCCCACAGGCGGCAAGGGCGCACGGTCTGCAGCCGCGCCGGCTCGCAGCCCGCGGCGGGCCCTGGGTCAGCGTCCGGACCGCAGCGCCGCCCGTTTCGGCGGCGTGGGCCCGGGCCCTCACGTACCTGGTTGAACTCTTCGCCCACATCCGCGTAAATGTCTATGTGGTCCACACCGTCCGCCATCTTCTCTCGGCCGAGGCCGCCGCCGCCTCCTGCAGGTCTGCCCGCCGCGGCAGCAGCAGCGGATCTAGCGGCGGGGGCGGGGCGCGCTGCGTCACTTCCGAGGCCCGAGGGACGAGGCGGGGGCGGCCGGGGGCGGCGGTCGCGTCTGCAGCCAGGCCGCTCGGCGGGCGAGGAGAAAAAGCTTGCGTCTCTGCTGGCAGAGGCGGTTTCTTTTGTGTGTCTAGGTTAGACCTGGGGCTTGGGGGGACGTCCCAGCTGTTTCCAGAGACTGTGTTTTCACGTTGCCTATGGCACACTCAAACGTTTTGTAATATTTTCATTCTCAGTTTTGCTTACAATTCTCAAAGCCAAGGCTTCTAGAGAGGTGGAAGTTTTATATCCATGATTAAATACGAACTGTAACCCAGCATTCTGTGAGCGCCTTGAGAGCGAAAACAACGTTCTTATCCCTGCATCCTCAGAGACCCGCAGTTTCGTTTGCCTAGTAAACGCTGGATTCCAGTGGATTGTTATCTTGAGTAATTTGCAAGCTACTTAGGTTATTTGCATGCTATTTATGTTTGCATCTCTATCCCGTCACCATCTCCTTTCATCTTTTTTCCCGTTCGTTGCCCTTCGTTTTTTCCCTCCTTGGATCGCAGTTGGTTTTTCTCTGAATAGTTCAAACGCCTCTAACTTGAAAGCAGTCATCCTAGAGTCCACCCAACAAGGTAGAGGCATCTTGGGGCAAAGGGCTTCTCAGAACCATAGAATGTCTGAGCGAGAAGGGAACTGGAAAAGGTGTCATTAGGTCCAAACATCTATTTTTCAAATGAGGGAACTGAGGCCAAATAGAAGTAAGTGATTTAACCGGGATCACGTGATCAATACAGACAGTTTTTGCCACCAGGATTTTATTCAAAGATGTCTCTCCAGTTAGAAACCTTACTCCATTCTTTATTTCTTTTTCACCCATTTAAAAACCCACCAAATTTGAGTGTGTTTGCTGAGATACAGAAATCTTTTGCACAATGATAAGCCAAAGAATATCCACCTGTACTTGGTATGTTGGAAGAAGCTTAGTTGGAGTCTTAGAGACCAATGTGGTGATGTGGATAACAATTACTAGTCAGTTTACCAGCAAGATGACCTCAGTCGAGTTACCTAACCTCTCATGTTCAATTTCAGAATCTTCAGACTTGAGGTAATAATATTTACCTCACCAAAGTTGAAGGTTGATGGTAGTTTAAATGAGGTAATATGCAAAATGCCCTATCCTCTTCTACTTCATGGAAATACTGATTTTCTTTTTTCCATGGGGCTTTATAGAAGACAAGAGCCATTCATGATAAGGGGCGAGACCTTTTTTTAGATTTGGGTAGGCGCCATAGGCCCATCATAGATGTCCATATCCCAATCCCTGGAACCTGTGACTTTATTAACCTTGGAAAAGGAGCTTGACTTATCCTTGATTTCTTGGTAGGTCCAAAGTAATCACAAGTGTCCTTATAAGTGAAAGGGGAGGGAGGAGAAGGGAGATTTGATGATAGGAGCAGTGTATGTTCTTTTAGTACACTTAAAAATCATTCCAGGGCTCTGACTTCTACCATTACCTACGAAAAATCAGCCGTCAGTGTGACTGTTTCTTTGAAGGTCATTGGGGTCCCCCCCCCC